AGAAATGGATGGGTCGGAAGATGATTTAGTCTTTGATTATGAATTGTTGGATGAGGAGAATGCAAGTAATGAAAATATTGAAGAAGTATTGACTTTTGATAATATTGATGAAAATGAATATGAAGAAGTCGAAGTTGATAATGTTTGGGAATAATGATAGAGTTTGATTTTTGTTTTTTTTTTTTTTTTCTAATTTTACATCTGCATATTGTAGCTTACGATAATCAAATTTGATTCTATAATAAAGCAGCTAGATTTAAGAAATAAATTCAAATTTCAAAATTGGTTCAATTAATTTGTTAAATTCATTGCTTCGACTTTTTACACTTCTCTAAATTTTTGATGCAATATATTGAACATGATTAGTATAGTGGTTTGCAAAAAAGTGTGATCTGTAAATTGTGAAAATTGGCCGATTTTAGCAGATTTTTTAATTCTTCCAAGATTTTGAATAAATATAGATGTTACTAATTAACGATAGAAATTTAGAATCTCAGAAATTTTCAACTATCATCATTACGAAATCACTTTTTTGCAAGCCGCTATAATTTAGGCCCAATTCCAAAAAATCGCAGCGATGTCATAACGCACAGGTTAGCAGATCTAAAATCCGAATTTATTTAGCTAAATTATAAAAATTAAAATTTAAAAAATTTTTTTTGACCAATCTATAAGTAGTACCCGGGTATAAATCAAAAATTGGTATTCAATTGCTACGGGGTATATTGTATGGATACAATACCCGGGTATAAACAAAAAATTGGTCTTCAAAATGCTGCAGGGTACATCTTATAGGGGGTACACATGTCAGATAAATACGGTATATACATATGTATATATATAAGTACATATTGTATAATCATAATGATTATCAGTATATAGTACAAAATTAATTATTGTACTATACTGAATCTATGTATACTTATATAATAGTTTCTATTATTACTATATATATATCAAATTTATATTTTTTAAACAAAATATATAGTCTAATTAAAGATATTAATTAGTAATTCACCAGTTATTTGATACATAATCATAATATAACATAATACAAATCACTATATAAATTATATATATTCTAAATATAATATTTATCTAAAAAAAACTTTTTTTCTTACTAAATTAATTGCTCTTTTGAATTAAATAAAAATTATAAAGTTTGTCAAAACATATCTAATAGTAATAAAAATATTAAAAATAATCTAGTAGTTGCTAAAATATTGCTAAAAATGATTAGCCAACTATGTAAAATTTCTATATAAACAATAGTTTGTTTATAGAATTATATATAGTCATCTAATTGTTTTTTAGCAATATCTTGACAATTACTAGACTATTTTTAATATTTTTATTGCTATTAGATGTGTCTTAATAAGCTTTACAATTTTTACTTAATTTAGAAAAGTAACTAATTTAGTAAAAAAAAGTTTTTCTTGAATAAATATCATATTCAAGATATATATAATTTATATAGTAATTTGTATTATATTATACTATAATTATATATCAGATAATTGGCGAATTACCAATTAATATATCAAAAATATTATACTAATTAAAAATTTGATATATCAAAAGAGCTTCTATATACTTTAACTAAATATTAATATTATTTATATAGTATTCTATCTTGATACTTATATTATATATTATTCTTTAATCTGTAGTCATTTCTAATTAAATTTGCTTGAAAAATTATTACAGTTAACTCTTTCTAAATATAATTAATACAAATTATATAGAAATTTTAAAAATCTTGTATTTAGAGAGATATTGTATTTAAAAAAATAAAATTTTAATAGAGCCATAGTAAGGCTATATATTTATAGAAGTTTTTATAGAAAAAATAATTTATTTATCACCTAGGTAAATTTTTTATCTACTTTTTAAAAATCAGTTTTTTGATACTTTAGAGTTAGAAAATATATGTAAAATTTAGCAAAGAATTTTTTTACTTAGAGCTCAAAAGGTAGTTTTATAGGCAGAATTTTAAGATATTAGCATTTTTTTAAAAAATTCTTTGTTTTATTACACAAATATTATACATGATCCCGCAAATTTATTGGCAGATTTAGGGGTAAGATCTCACTCTAAGTGAAGAATAAATATACTCTTTATAGAATATATATTTAGAAAGGTACTTATAATCTATATTTTTTAAATTTTAAAATATTTAAATAATTTTTTTTTAATAATATTTAAAAATAAAAATTATATTATAGTAGTATTTAATTTTATTTTATATAAAAAAAATTTTAAGTTGCTTATAAAATAAAAATATACAAAGTTAGAAAAATTTTTTAATCAAAAAAATTATCTATATATTTTTGTTTTTGCAACTTTATTTATAAAAATTTGAACTTGTATTAAGAGCAAAATTTTTTAGCTTTGAGAATATATGAAATCTTAAAACTTTGAAATTTTATTACTCAAAAGTTTAATAACTTTAAAAAATTTTTATAATAAAAATTATAAAATATGTTTTCAAAAATATATTCTATAATAAATATATATTTTATATTATTAATAAGATTTAATTAAGTATCACAACCCTGTGATATACTTATACATCGCATTTTAATGACCAAAAAATCAAACTTCAAGATTACATATAATATAGTACAATTATGAAATTTCAAAACAAATGTTTATTTTGTCAAAACCCAAAATTTAATATATGAAACTAACTTTTACACTATAACAAAAAAAATTTCTTGCCAAATTTTACTATAAGATTTTTTTTGCACTCTAACCCTATCTAACTCTAATCTTAACTAAATATCTAAGCTTCTTTTTATTATTTTTAAGATAACAAATTATAATTTGTATATACATGTAATATATAAACACAATACAAAATATGACTATATATTTATCCTTATTAATAAATTATTATTTATTTAAAAAATACTAAATATAATTTAATTTTTTAGATAATTTTGTCTAGAATATGGTTTAAAAAATAACTTGATGAAAGGATTAGAAAAATATAAATCATCTTTTAAAAAGATAATTAGATAAGTATAGATTTTTAAAACAAATAGATAATTTGACTATATAGAAAGAGTTTTTAAAATATAAAGTACAAAAGA